CTTAAATGGTGATTCCTGTTTGCCTTTCTTTTTTTTTTTTTATTTTCTCTTATTGGCAGGCTTTATTAAAATTGGTAGCTGACTGTTCAGTAGTTGCTTTAAACCCAAGCAAAAAGGATGCTATTAATGAGTCACCTCTAAAGATAGCTCTTTTCTCACTGGGAAAGATGTGTGCATATCCACATTGCCGACAGTTCCTCCGTTCATCAGAGCTCTTCCCAGTGATTGGACGGCTTCGGCAATCCCCAGAATCAGGCATTGCAAAGCTCGCCTCAACTATTGTCAGCAAAGTTACTGATACGTGAAGCCTGAAGGTAAAGACTGTTACTGGTCATTTCTTTTGACCTCACCAACTTGATTTCCACTAAACCATAAATGGTAGCTCTTGGTCGGTAAAATTGAGGCCTAAAAGATCAAAGAAAATCGCGAAGGATGTTAGTATTATTATACTATATGATGTTATTCATCGTCAATCTGCTAACAATATGCAATTTCCTTTTCTAAAGAATAATATGACTGTTCCAAGTTACATTTTCTGTACTTCTGCCATCGCTTTGATGTATTCATCATTCCAACAGTTTGAGCTCATGGCAGGTTCTAAGTAAAATTTTCCCCAATAGTCCTGAAGAAAGGAGAGGGGACAAAAGGAGGAAAAGTAAGTTGAAATTCTTCTTAACCAATTAGTAGAAATTCAATGTTGTACTTGAGTATTTAACTTAATGAAATTATATGTCAATTTGCCAATGACCTTTGGGCTTAGTTGATTTAAATTAAAGAATTAACAGGGTTAGGGTACGTTCAATGAAACGTGTTTCTTGTAGTTTAAAATGAAATTCAGTGGATTATTAGCAGATTCGGCACTAGGCAGTGGCCAGGATTACATTATCTGCTCATGTGATTCAATTCATTACAAAATAATTACGGAAATAGATGATTTGTCCATCACAAGCTCAACATTATCACGTGGTATTATGTTAATATGTTAGGTTTGGGTTTTTATATAATATAGAACGTTAGGTATGATACTTTAAAAATTACATCAATTATTTAAAAAATTTGAATAAATTTTTATTTGTTTTTTATGTTTAGTTAAATGTTTATATTTTTATTTTATGTTAAATAAACTTTTATAATATATTATTTTTATGTTCACATGGTGTTTATGTGGAAGATCAGAAATATTATGTGATAATATCATTATGTCATATTAATATATTATATCATTATCTACTACAATATGTGATGATAAACATTTTGATAAACAACAATTAGTTATGAAAGTTATATTTGACTTTAAATAAAAATATAAAGGTTTGATAAACACAATAAAATAATAAAAATTTATTTAAATTTTCTTAAATAATTCAATAATTTTTTAAAGTATTATGTTAACATTTAAAGTAAATTTAAAATTTAACCTATCAATTATTATCTTTATTAAGTTTTTTGAGGTTTGACCATTTAAAGTTGTTATCTTCTTAGACTTATTCATAAATTCATGTGTCCAAAAGAAAAAGGAGTACATATGAGCTTCATTTCTTAATTATTTGCCCTTTCCAATGGTACTGCCTGTAAGCAATATTACTTGGTGCATAAAAAATAAGCTTAATTCTTTTTTTATTCACCTCATAATTCCATGTAAAGTCATTGTAATGCATTCCAGGCCATCAACATCAAGTTCATCAACCCAGTGTGAATCCAAAGATCCGATGGTTGAAGAAGAGGACCTCAAAATATTGAAAGAGTTGGTAAACCTAAAACCATAGCAACCACTAATTAAGAACAATACACTTTTGTGCACATAATGCGTGCCACTTAAAAACAAAACCCTTGGGTCTTCCATAATGCCTTCCACTCCATCTTTTGGCAATCAACAACAACACATATTTCAAAACTAAATTATAAGTCAATCTCCTAATCAATGTGTTGAATGTGCATTGTCCAATCTCTTCCCCGGTTAGAGGGTAGCATACGAAACCACTTCTCAACATTGTTAACATGTATCATTTGCTTATCAAACCAATCTTAACAAAATTGAAACGAAACGGAAAGAGTTTTTTGTTTACTTACAATCCCATAATGAGTTAGGCTTTCTTTGCTTTTAATTTCTTTACAAAATAACATCGTTCAAATATAATAAAACAAAAACGATAATATTTAAATTCAAATCATTGGGTTTTTATTTGTACAAAACTATATCTCTTTTATAAATATTGATATTTTAATATTTACTCTTTTTACTGACGAAAATTAAATCGTTACAACACTCATTATTTATGTATATTAAACTAAATTTGTGGTGTAAATAATAAGTGCTTTAGGAGCTGTAATTCATTAAGAGAATATATACATAGTCAGAAATTGAGTGTAACCCCCTGTGGTAATAATTTGGAGGAATGAGTATGATGGGTATAGAATGCTATGATTGAAGGCAAGCATGCTAAGAGAATAAGGGCAAATTGGTTGGCAAGCAAAGTAGAGAAAGCGAAATGCCAGTTGTCAAGCTAAGCGTATATTTTAAGAAAGGAAGACAGCCCCACTAGCATTCTAAGAGAAATGTATTGGAGAGGGGAGGGGAATTTTGGGTAGGTGAGTTAGTGGGTGTAATATATTTGTGGCCTTGGAATTTTAAGGTATTATTACGTGTCCAAATGACAAACACCATGGTCGCATCATTCTTGAATCCTCCGGGTCGGGGCCGGCCGGCCTACTAAAGGTCTTTGCAAATATCATTCCTCTCTTCTCAGCTTGGTATACTTGGATTTTGCCGACAATATGTACTTGGTAATGATGAGAGGATAAGTCTTCCATCAACAAGTGAAGGAGAGGGACCAAGGCTTCCAAGACTCATTTCTTTATTCCTTTAACATTATAGGAATTGCCATGTGTTTGTCCTTTGGTTTTGACTTTAAACATGTTTTAGTGGGCAATATAATTAATCATAGTTTATCCTAGATCATTTACAGTTATTAATACTTGATTGATGAGGTTGAAAAGAAATGAAATTGCATTGCACGATCACTCCATTATTATATTGTAAGGTAAAATAATCTCATCTTCTTAAGTTTTAGTTTTAATTTCAGATAAGTTTATTAATTTTTAAAATAGATATATTGTTTTAAAAAATATAAATATCATTTATAAAAAATATAAAATAACTAAAATACCTTTTCTTCCTTCTCTTATTTTTTTCTCTCAAACAATATGCTCTACGGTTCCTATTCGCTGATCGACCACCCCACGACAGGTGCTCTCCAAGGAAAGGGAGCATTGATCAAGTGCTCCCCTCTCTTGGGGTGCTACCCCGAATTTTTTTTAAAATATATATATAATAGTAATTTTTAAAATTAATAAAAAATAAAATTATTTTTTTAATATTATCACGTTATCAATTTAACAGAAATACTAACGATTGATTAATAACTGGATCTATATATTTAACGAAAATTTTTTTTTAAATAGAATATTTATTTCAAAAACTAATAGATTCGTTTGAAATTATGGTTAAAAATTAAAAATGTGAGAGTATTTTATATTATATTATATATGGCATGAGAACAAAATATTGTGAGGGGGGTAAACTGTGCTTCATTGTATATGGAAAATTATCTACAAAGGAAGGTTTTGGTAAGTGATAGTAAATAACACCCTTGGGGGATATCTTTATAATTTTTTTTAATTTAATAAATTTATACCTTATATAAAATGTATCTTTAAAATGAATATTTATACGAGACATAGATTTTTTTTTATGTAGTTAAAGTGACACGTGTTTAATTTTTTTAGACAACAAATTACCTTGAGAGAGAAAAGGAAACCCATGAGAGAAGATAGAGAAGGGGAAAAGAGTCTAAGATGAAAGAAACAATGAGAGGGACAAAGAAGGTTGAGGATAATTGAGAGGGTTTATTCTAATTAAAGAATTATTTAGAGCTTAGCAAGGGAATGAGAGAAAAATATTAGAGTATTCGAATGATGAAAGAAATAGTAAAAAAGAGAAGAACAATGTATTAATTAATGAATCAATGCTCAAGTGCAAAGAGAAGAATAGTTTAATCAAGTAAACATTTTTTTAAAATTAGGCAAAACAAGCACTAACCATGTAGATGTTGTTAAATATATATTTGTTTATTGTTTATTTCAAAAATATTTTTTAAATTTGATAATTAATTATTAATAAAATCTTTTTTGTGTGTTTATACATGCTATATTGTGCTATAAATATACCATAAAAAATTTAATACTCTGAGCATATACCTTAGGCTACAGAAAAAAGTTAAATCTACATAAATTAATACTTTGGAACCATGAAAATTTTATTAATTAATCAAGGTATTATATAATCGATAAGTTAATTCTTTTTTCAAAACATTAATTGAATTTAATATATATGTATTGTGCATAATTTTTTCTTTCAATACATGAACATACATCAGAGTATCTTAATACATCACGAAAAGTTCGAGATGAGATCTAAGGAAACATCAATTTCAAGAGAAAACAAGTAATATTGGAGTCATATTTTATAAATACTTTTGCAATTGAGTAATGTACATATATAATTTTGATATATAAGAAGATTTATATCAAGTGGGACTTATGTGTTTTTTTTAAATGTATTATCTTATAATTTTAACAAATTATTAATTTATCACATTGATCTCAACTCGAAATCGATTAAAAATATTATTTAATCGAGGTTTTCAAATATTAATTTATAGAGATAATACTGTATTTTAAGATAAAAATGAAGGATCATGTTTCTTACTCTTCCTTTTTCTTTTCTTTGGTCTTTTCTTAGGGAAAAATGATAAACATCTTAAAATTTAATGTATTTATATATCATATTTAAATTGGTAAAGTATAGGGCTCAAATAACACAACTTGTTCATTATTAATCCAAGGTAAGAGATATAAACTTGGATTGCATTCTTATAGTTAAAATGATTTGATTGTTATCATATAAAGATTATGTGGTGTGGGAAGTACATGCATTCACATAAGGACAAAAATAATATGAAGGCATCCCAATTGGTCCCATAGGTCCCATAGCCAAAGTCATACCTTTATAGGAGCTCAAGTCAAAAGTGGGATGGACAGAAACTTTAATCCTGAAATTGCATGCAGATAGAAGAAGACAGTGCCACCACCATCACCACCCAACGCCACCCCACCACCAACACCACTAACAATCCCAGGAGCAAGCGACACGTTCCCCCATTATTGTCTTTATCTCATTCTTCTCTTTTTACTCAAAGAAGCTGCTAGAATTTCAGCTAACTCAGAGGAGATGTATTTCTTTGGCTGCCGCAATGCCTATAAATACACGGTGGCCTCTCCCCTTTTCTCAATCAGCAAAGCTTGCTTTCTTGTATTCTGAGTGGTACATACGATAGACTTTAAAGCTGCATCGAACTTTTGTTTTTAGCTTCAAAATGACCAGTTCTAGGGTTATTGGTGCTGCATTCTTGGTTTTGCTCTTTGTGGACTTGGCCTTTGCTGCTAGGTCACTTAGGGCTTTAGGCAAAGGAGGAGGTGGTGGTGGTGGAGGAGGAGGAAGCGGTGGAGGTGGAGGTGGTGGCAATGGTGGGTCAGGGTCTGGATATGGTTCAGGGTATGGTTCTGGAAGTGGCTCTGGATATGGTTCAGGAGCTTATGGTAGTGGAGAAGGTGGTGGTGGAGGTGGCGGAGGAGGTGGTGGAGGTGGCTCTGGATCAGGCAGTGGCTATGGCTCTGGGTCTGGGTCTGGATACGGGTCGGGATATGGGTCTGGTGGCGGGATAGGAAGTGGCGGAGGTGGTGGTGGTGGCAGAGGAGGAGGAGGTGGTGGTGGTGGAGGCAACGGTAGCGGAGGCGGTTCAGGCTATGGATCCGGGCATGGAAGTGGGTCTGGATATGGAAGTGGTGGTGGTAGAGGTGGAAGTAGTGGGGGTGGAAGTGGAGGAGGTGGTGGCAGAGGTGGCGGTGGCGGCGGCGGCAATGGTTCTGGCCATGGTTCAGGCTATGGAAGTGGCTCTGGCTATGGTTCTGGGTACGGAGGTGGTGGAGATGATGATTACTTACCATAAATGAAGGATGAAAGTTTACTTAGGTAACCGTATATTCAATCTTTGTCATTTATAGTTTTGAAAATAAAATTGCAATGTCTTGAGCCGTGCATGCATTTGCATGGACGGAGTACGTTGCATACGTTACTGATATTAAGACTTTTCTAAGGGTATTTATGACACCTTATCATGTGTCATTATTATGATTATTGTATCATCAAAATAAATAATAAATACTAATAATTTTCTATTTTTCTTCTTAAATCATGCGTTTTTTTTTTTAATTTTTTTTTTATAATTGGAGAAAGAAAAATTCAAACTCTATTCTTTAGGAAGAGATAATGCATCAATTAATCAATGAATTAAATATTCGAATATAATTAATTTTTTATTATTTATTATGAAAAAGAAAACAATGAAGAATTTGGAACAATAATAACTCAAATAATTCAAATAAAATAAAAATCTTTATTATTTACACACAGTCATTATTTTTGTTTCTTCTTTTCAAATTTCAAATTATTTAGCACAAAGTTATATTAGTAGCTTCAACATGCATGAGTGATCAACATGACTTCATTCTTAGAATACGAATGGGATGTTAGTAAGTGATCTGTAATTGATTCTAGTTACGTTATATATTAATTTGATTTTTAGATTTTATATAAATGTGTCCTCTTATGAATATTAAAATATTTTGTAATGAAAAAAAAGAAATTTAAATTCAATTTTTTAAATAAGATCATAAATACATAATCTTGAGAGTAAGTACGACTTCCATGGATTATTTATTTTTATTTATTTTTAAATAAAATTTATAAAATGAGGAGCAAAATATGTTTAAATATGTCTAGTAATTATAACAGATCTCACAAAAATAGAATGAATTTTGAATATATAAATATAATTTTTTCATCACTTATCAAACATGTCTTTTCAGTTGAAAACAAAAACATTTAAACTTTATTTCAAAACTTAAAACTGCACGTGATATAATATCATTCTTAACCATTATTTCCTTCCCAAGATATAATGTAAATGTAAGGTTATAATTTTAGTGAAAAGATGCTCCTTCGGCTTTCAATCAAATATTCACAAATGAAAAATAATACAAAAATTAAGAAAAAAGAAACACTTTCTGATTTATGATTTAGTATTTTTTTAATATTAAAATTGTTGAATGATAATTTTTGCTGCAACCAATATATTAAACCCCAGAGGCGTATCTTAGAAGTTTATATAAATGGAGGGATGGAATCAGCAAGGAACAAGCAGAGAATAGGATCCAGGCCTCAAAAAACAAGGGTATCCGATCCCCATCCTCTCAAATTATAATTCAAGATGTTCAATGAAGCAGGCTACAACATAATAATATACCATAAGTAGAACAACAGCTAGCTGTTACAATTATATAACCAAAAGGCAATCATATAGCCTATTCCAACATCATTTCCTCTTTTTTGTTTTTTTTTGGTGTAAATCAATAAATTTAGTCTGTATGTTCCGATGAATCCTAAATAAGTGCTCTGCTTGATTTAAAAAAAAAAAATGTCCCGTTCTTTGCTGCTACCCTTGTACTCTCAGCTTAGTCAACTCATGATGTGCCAATGAATGTGGATATGTTTCTAATCGGACTATATGAGCAAGTCGTAAGCGGTTCCACCAAAAGAGGGTCGAACAAGAATGGTTCTCATAACCCGAAAACTAATCCATCACCCTATCGGTGGCGTACGCTACCTTCTGCATTATCATGGACTCAGCTTGACGAATTGCTCTCTGTGATCCCGTGATTGTAACTTTCCTGCCACACCAAGGTATACGATAATAAGAAAAAAGTTTCAAGGAAAAATGAAAAATCACCTCATAACTCGATGTTTTGCTTAGCTAGCAGATTGACGGTACTGAGATTGTATACCTATCTGTTGTTCCAGACATGAAATCACCTCTATCCGATATTTTTATCCTGGCCCCGCTTAGCTGCAATAACAACGCGCTCAAACTCAAACATAAGCAATAATACGGAACCAAATGATATCTATTTATCATTTACAAACCTGACTAATTTCCATAATATTCCTTCCGCCACGACCAAGAACCAGCCCAATATGCCCATCCGCAACACCAATTGTGACAGAGTTGCTACGATCCTCCTGGGTAAACATATGAGAGACTTCTCTGTCAAGCAAGATCTACTTACTACACATATAGCATGAGTCGTTTAATTGAAAACATCAGTCATCATGTGTTAAATGAATAATAAGGATTTTAGTGTAGATATATAGAAAATGCATACGACACTCGAAATACTGTAAGACAACAATTCTAGAAGTAAGATGCAATTTGGCAGAAATGAGCTAATAAAGAACTATTCTATCTGTCTGCAAATATCAAACAAAATGATTATGAGTGTACTCTGTATAGATGCCAAAGTATGACAACCAATCAATATATTTTGCTTAGCAGTAAATGAAGTAAATAGCATCAGTCACCAGGTATTGTGGATAAAGCATAAAAGAAAGAGATGAACCTTGTGATTCTGAAACTTCCCTCCAGCCCCATTTGGTGGATAGCTCATTGAATTGTAAGTCGCTGTTGCAACAGAAGGAAGCACATATGCATATGGAATACCATGAAAACCAGAGAAGAAAATACCTAAAATTTCAAGTTAAAGAAATCTTACTAGGACCAAGTTAATGAAATCTTACTAACAATACATTACAGTAATAACTCAACAAAGGACATACAATCAATATCAATACTAATTGCACATTAAGGACAACTCACATCATAAATTCACAAAGAAATGACCATTAAGAATCAGACTACTTGATGACAACTGAAAATATCTTGTCACAGCATTCAAAAGAAAAACTTCCAAGGAAGTGGACCACTGAATTTTAAGAACACATAAAAAAAAATCTTCCATAATATCTCATGAAAGTTAAAGGAGCCATCAGGCTTTTTGTGCCACATTTTTTTGGAGACTATGCTTACTTCCAAATTTAATCACCATGTGGATAAATCTGCAATCATTCTGCAGTTAGAAATAAATTGCATGGGTGCAGCACCTATCAATTTGTTGTGTTTGATTATGCCCCTTTGCTTTAAGGTTTGTGAGATCAGACTAGATGGCTCAGGTCCAGTGAAAAACACTATGACAACAGTAATATAAGCCTGCAGACTATCCCTCTCATGAGGAGAAAAAAATGCCACAGAATACATGTGAAAGTAAAAGTGTTGGATAACATCAGAAATGAGATGGAAGACTTCTGTCAGGTTTGGGTTTTGGGATAGATGCAGTGATGTAATGATGGTTATTATGGATTAAAAATTATGTGAAAGAAAAAAGTTAGAAACAACAGGCTGACAGCCAAGCTTTAATGCTTAACTTCATAGAACAGTTAGAAAGCTCTGTAAATAATCAACTGTTGGCATATCAGGACCTATGACATAATTGTTAAGGCAATAGTAAGATAAGGGAGTATATAAAAAGCAATAGTCATGTCCATAAAGGAGAGGCAAATGATGCAAATACAGGAGTTTCTTCAGACTTGGTAGCCAAACAAAAAGAGGACACACCTGCATATGAAAATGGGGCATGCATGGCTTGTAAGTAGTGAGGGTCTTCACTAAGCTTGGACAGAATCAAATCAATTGCTCGCATCTGCTCATCTAGAGTGCCAGTCAGTGTCACTAGCCTATCATTCAAGCCATAAAAATTATTATCCTGTGGAGATATCTTAATGCCAGCTTGGGAGTCTTCAATAAATGACCTACAAAAAGGCATAAATAACAATGAGGACTTACCTTAACCGTTCAAAGCAGTCAGAACTCATATAAAGGACCAATACACACACACACACACACATATGCACACATATATAGTTGTTTCTTCAGTATATAAATATCTGCCATGCATTTTCCTCTCATGGGTTAGCAGCAAGCAGTCAATGCCGTCAATGATAATGTTCATACAAGGCAGTGAGGATGTTAAGAATTTTTAGGTCTAAATAACCATTTATAACTTCTTGCAGGGCTCAAGCCACATGTAGCAGGGGAAGCGGCATACTTCCCGGATCAATATCACTTCTCAGTCCAATTGTGCTCACTCATGTGGAAGTTGTAGATAAATATAGAAAAGCACAGGCCAATTTAACACTATTATTTCTTGCATTGAAGTTACTTTTGAGGAGGTTATTCCATCTCAAAGAACATGTCCTCAGTTCATTTAACATCCCTTGCATCAAATCAAGTTTTAAGGGACAATAACTACATATTATTGGTACTTTTCCATGATTCTAAGCTGGTATCCAAGCTTTAGTAGAGCCCAATGTACTTAAACTGAAAAAGAAAGCAAAAATGGCAGAATATCTTGCAGTTCAGATCTATAGATGCCAACTAGACCTTCATGTCATGAAGCATTCTTCTCAAAACCTTAATTCCACATATTTAGATTTTATAATGAAACCAAAGGCCAATGACCAAATAAAATTCTCCAAACAAATCACCCCAAGTTTTTAATCTTTCGAAACCATTTTGTAAAATAAATTTACTTCCAAATTCTCATCCAAGCCCATTCCACAAAAGATCTAACTATGATATACTCTCAAACCTTAGTTAGACAGGTCTTCTACAAATGAAACCTCTGGCAAGTTGTCACATTTTGCCATATATACCTGAACTAATTCGTTTCCTAAAGCCATTACCATGACACCATCTACTTGGGCATAAGCAGGTTACCTACAGACAATACTAGAAGTAACTCACTGTGACGCACCAAAAGATTGGCACTATGATAATATTTACTAAATTTATTCCTATTGGCAAGAAATGCTCCTTTCCATTGCATGTCTCCTCAAGTTAGCTCTCAAATTCATTGCAGACAACTCTTTGAATGTGAAGTTGCCAAATCATCAACAATTCATTGCACACATTCTTAGACATAAATCAATTCCAAAATAAGCAGTTCATTCACCAATAATGCCTATCTGAATATCCTATAAATCAATCATAGGTTAAAATTTTAACAAGGTTTATCCCCTGCAAATTAACAGCACAGTGGAAGAATAAATAGGCACTCTTTATAAATAAGCAAGGTCAGTATACTTCAAGTATGTCAACAGCAATAAAAATTATAAAATTCAAGTTAAAAAAATTGATTTCAAGCCTGCAAAAAATCATTTATTTCACTGCTGAAGTTTCAAAATTATAGCAACAAAAACACGTCCAATAATCAGACTGTCCAAGTAGACTTCTTACTTTAT